TTCTTATTCTAAGAGGCCGAAAGTGAATTTAGCAATATTGAGTCCCTCGGTGTAAGCTGCCCATCACGAACAGGTCCGTTATGAAGCCCTTTAGCAGCTAATGTGGGAGAAGTATAAATCAACTTATGGATTGTTAAAGATCGATTCGCTCGTGCCAAAATTTACCAGAGCACTTCTGAGTTACTTTCCGCTGTGAGCAACTTTTTAATGGATACTCCCTCCTTTGTAAAGCTTCGCCATTAGCGCCTGTCCCAGTTAACTGCGGTAAAAAAAAGGCATTTCGATAGGAAGCCAACCAAAAAATTTTTAACTTTTTTATATGCAATTTATGCCACGAAAACCGTGTTTATGGAGATATGCTTGAGAGAAGCCCTGCATTTAACTCAGATCGATAGCTGTTCGAAACTAAATCTTGTAATTTTGGCAAAAAGTTGATGGATCGGAAAGAAATGCAGGGACAAGAAGGGAAGGATTGTAGCGGAGGGAGAAGGAAAACAAAGACGCTGGCAGCTCGTGATGCGTAAAGTCTGGAAAATGTTTCTCTGTAATTTTTGATAAAAATCACTTCGGTCAGTTAGCAGACGCATTCTTCTATTTAAAGCTTCCTTAAACGTACACATTACTTAGATAACATTTCTTTTTCCTCTTAAGCCAAAGTAAGTGGGATGGAGGAGTGCACGAGAACGAAGCAGCACTATCAGAAGAAAACCCACTGCAAATACCGGTGTAAAAAAAAAAAAAAAAAACGAAGGGCAAGCTCGGCACTCCGACTAGTAAAAATTACTATTCTTCTTTCCGCGACAAATTTACAAACATCTTTAACATCTCGACGCAAAGAATGCCTCCCATCTGAAAGAAGAGACGTTCGGATCACACTTCAGAAACAGTTCATCCTAGATTTTTTACTAGTCGGAATTCAGAACTGATTTTAAGATGTCCCCGAACAACGATGCACTGCGACACAAAGCACTCATACTAGTGAGGCTTTTTAGAGCAAATTTCACATGTCGCTCTTAAACAAAACCAGGCCATTCGTGAATCTAAGGCTTTTAACAGTGCTGTCCCGTGAAATTCACTTAATACGTTAAAACGGAGCCACAAGAGAAGTATGTAGGACACACCGACTACCTGTCTTTGATGGCTCTAAAAGCACCTTCATGTCGCTTGAAAAGCAGAAGCAGTGCGAGACATACCAGCAGAAGATCATTGAACAGGAAAACTTCACGCTGATGGGCATTCACAGCCTGCCGCTTGCTACGATCCATTACTTGGTTTAGCCGACAGTAGCACACCAATCGGCGATACGGCTCCACTAATTTCTACAACAGTCAGTGTTTATTTACTTCACAAGCCTCAAATCAGAATGAGTGATACCCTAGCAGCTGTAACCACAGCAGTAACTACGCGCGCTGACGAACAGCGATATAAGCAAAAGTATATGCAACGCTTCTACCCGCATAGATCTTACAAAGAATGTTGGAGTACCTGATGCTCTGTGTAACAATAATGCAAAATGAAAAATAATTTAAAAAAGAACAGCGATTCGCTAACCAAGCCAAATCTATAGTACATCAAAGCACAACCGGGAGGGTATTCTAACACCAAAAATTTGACAAATTCTGACTCTCTCAGTTACGAGTGGTAATGGTTTAGGAAGTGTCGAAGCAAGGCGGGGTACGAGCCTAACAGCCGTCAAGTACGCAAATAAGGAGCTATGTAGCCAACTATTCAACTAAACTTGGGCAGTATGGACCAGCGTTAGCTTAACAAAGAAGGGGGACGCAGCAAAAATCAAAATGCTATATGCACAATACAAAACGCCATGGGGAAGAGAACGAAATGAAAGAAGCAAGCAACGAGCTTTAGCCCCTTCAGTCTCGCCCATGGTGGTAGACAGGTAACCGGAGAGGGAAAAATGCACGAATTAGGAAGATGACGTATGTACAACGGACGGGTGCTCGATACTAACTGGAGAGGCGCAGCTCAGGAAAGAAGGTGTCTGACGGTGTGTGTAAGAGCACTTCAGCAGCGGCATCCCTAACCAGAGATTCTTAAACCGATTGTCTTGGCGATTTTGGGACTGAAAAACTCAGCCTGTAACGAACTAGAAAATTTGTAGCTTGGCTCAGTTCGAATTTATCACTGAAAGGATGGATCACTTTTCCAGTACGAGATCCTAGCATCAAACGAGCTAAATGAGGAGAAATGCAAAACATCTGCAACAGCGTAGCTCGGATGCACACAGAAGAGTGCTCGGAATCTGCAATCATTCCAAAGCCGCTGCTAGTAAGGACACATAGAGTACACACTGGTGCTGCATCCCCTCATCCCATTTTACTGTGTGAAAACTTCGTGAAAAGCACATAAAAAGAACATGAAATTTTGAAATGAGCAAAACTTACAGGTTTATCCTTGCCAACGATGCTCTGGTCGACTTTCAGGACTTGCGACACGTGATCAGATCCAGTACGAAGTGGAGAGTCACGTATGCGACAATAAATGCGAACCAGAAGTGCCCTGCATTTAACAAACTGTACAGGCGACCATCGCATTAAAATGCTGCATACACACAAATTGGGCGTTAGTGTCTGTCCCCTCCCTCTCCTCCGTATAAGGGCAGTAAGGTCAAATTAAACGCCTCCTAGGACGACACGTAATTCCTCATTTTCATAGACATAAAGTTCCAACATATAAGCATCCCATACCACATCGAAATAAATGAATAAAAGACAAAACAATGCAAAACACTTTATCCGACAAACGCACGCAAGTTGTTACGCAACTAACTACTCACCTAATACTTGAAACTAGAAAAATAAATGGCAACGCGCACCAGACTAGCCGGTGCGATCATGCGTTTTGTGCAATTCAGCCCACAACGATATTTGCCTGTTAATGATTTTCACTGCTTTGTACTTTAGTCTATGCAAAAATAGTTCAAACATTGAAAACCAGACGTAATGATTTTTACTTCCTTGTACTTTAGTCTATGCAAAAATAGTTCAAACATTGAAAAACAGTTAAGAAAATGATTTTCACTGCTTTGTACTTTAGTCTATGCAAAAATAGTTCAAACATTGAAAAACAGTTAAAGATTTCACTTCCTTGTACTTTAGTCTATGCAAAAATAGTTCAAACATTGAAAAACAGTTAAAAACTTGATTTTCACTGCTTTGTACTTTAGTCTATGCAAAAATAGTTCAAACATTGGAAAACAGTTCCTGTTAATGATTTTCACTGCTTCGTACTTCAGTCTATGCAAAAATAGTTCAAACATTGGAAAACATTTAAAAATTTCACGCACCTGCGCATGAAAGCAGAATTCGAAATCTCGGAGGGATGAATATCTTTCCGTGATTCCCGAGTTAATAGTTTACCCGCCAAAATTTTCACGAGGCCGTAGGTGGCAACCGAGAGTTCGAGAACGCCAAATTTGAATGAGCAAGGTTGAGCGTGGGCAGAGGGTCATTATTCTTAAATTTCAGCCTCCTAGACTCCGTGGTTCCCGAGATATTAACTTACCCGTGAATAACTTTCACGGGGCCGTACGCATTACCCGCGA